ACATGCGAAACTCTCAGCAATGATTTGCTTCCTTGGCCACCAAACAACAGCTGCCAACGGCAGAATTCCCAATCTGAACCAATATATTTATTGATCAATCAGCTGTATACAGAACACCCTGAGAAAGAAATCAATAAAGTTAAATGTTGCGAACGTTAAGAAGATCATCAGAGTTTTAGACTCAACTTTTGCATTTGCGAAATGAAAGCCTTAAATATTTCAGGCTTGTGGTCTTTGTGCTATGTCCTGGATTCGAAGCCCTGATCTCGCTGAGATAACAGTTCAGCGCTCTGCTAATTGAGCCAACAATCCAACTGGGAGCAGGTATTTGAGTTGGTTCATTTGAAGGACGATCAGTTTCACAGCCAACTCTCAGTACTACTCCTTAGTTACCATGTGAAGTACATTTAGCCGATTTTTGGAAAACGAGCCTAACGAGAATTGCTGCTATTTGACTGATTTATCAATCTCAAGTCGACTGGAAATTTTTCCCTATCTCCCTCCGTCTGATAACAGTAGAGACCTTACGATCCGACAACGGTGACGCCAATGAAAACGTCGCTGAAAGATTGACTTCGCGTCCTTTAAAACCACTTCGCGATTATCCCAAGTCACCCAGTCACTTCAAAGAAGGGAATTTCTGTTGGAGCTGAAGAGAGGGGCCGTACCCGAGTGCAGACAGAGATGATAGAATTTATCGCCTTGCCGTTCCCGTCCTCAAAAATAAAATAATAATAATAATAATAATAATAATAATAATAATAATAAGATTTGGTCATTTCACGTGGTAGTCGTGCAGGGACTGCAAAGGAATGTACAAAAAATCGTGATGCTCGTGCAGAGTTGTTTTTTTGCTAACTAAAACTGTTGCTTTTTGACGTTGCCGTTGCTGTCGACGTCGTAGTTTTGTAAGTTCCCCATTGCTAAACTGTGACAGTTTTAGAAGATTTTCCATTTGTATTCCTTCTGGAAATTAGAATTGCCGACCGATGCATCAGCCGACATCTCGGCCGACTGTCGATTGACATATCGGTCGCTATATCGGTGGAGAGTACGTTGGTCGAGTCTCGGAGGATCGAGTCTCGAACGAGAGTTGGTTGCTACACTCCATCAGTTGACAGTCGGTCGATGGTTGGTCGTTTAAAAAAATTTCGCCGACGGATCACCGACACGGATCTACCTCGGTCGACTGTCGTTCGACATGGCCGTCGATATATCGACCGATATCGACTTAGACCCTTGACCGACTCACCACCAACACTCGACCAATGCAGCTACCCATATGTGACCGACAGTCGACTGAGATATCAGCCGATAGATCGGTAGACAACCCCTATAAGTTATATGATCCCCAGGGCTTGATATCCGTTTTTTTCCAAATCGATGAGGTCACTGTAGTTTTTAAGTAAAGGCGGTGCAATGAATTTGCACTTAATTCGCCTTCACAACGTGTTACGGGCATAGTACATATAATTTTTGGCCTAACGCTAATGTTCAGATATGAGGATGTATCATATCAATTGCTGAAGCGGAGGAAGCTGGTCTTTTTTTCGGGAAAATTAAGGTTAAGACGTGGATTTTTGAAGTAACAAGCAATTTTACTACACAGGATTACCCGTCTGCTAAGTGTGGTTATAACATTTAGACCGTTTCTTGATCTGAAGCATCAGTCTTTTGACTATAGCCTGTACCAGAATCATATACTCATATATTTAACCCTGAAGAACCCTGAAGCGTCCAAATTCCTTCCATTTGTTTAGAAACATGCTGGCGTTGTTTAGCCGTCCAATCAGAAGCTGACGAATTTTTTTTTTTGCCCTAAATATGGAATCAGGGAATTGAAGGCATCCCTGTCTGAAAAGTAGCTGATAAAGAATTTTTGAAGTCCATAAACAGTTCTCTTAGTACATTCATAACTCAATAGTTACACACTCCGCCGTTTAACTTTTTTTACAGAACAATATCAACGGACAAAAACATTTACATTTACAGGTAGCGGAGCCGACAAGTATGTTGTCATTTGTGAGCGCTAAGCTGCACTATGGCATGCACTAATAACTTTTTTTCCAAAAACGTTCTGTAAAAAAATCGATAAGTAGTTTTCCGTCTCCAAGACCTTTGCAAAAAATATACTATATATGTTATTCAAAGCAACCTGTGAAAACTATCGGGTGAAAAAATAAGGTCGCGTAATGTTGACACAATCAGTAGTCTTTTGAAAACGCGCGCCTGGCCCGTAGATGCTTATCATTATTGGTCGTCTTTGTCTTCTCTGGTTACCCTGGCCACTTTGAATTCCGATTTTCGTCAAATTTTACTTCCTAAAACTGTTATTGCCCTTTGTAGCGCTTTGTTTACATCTTAAGACAAAGTTTTCATAACATAAGAAGCGCGATAGTCTCCCGTATCATTGATTCCATATTAGTTACGAAGTAAATTGTGATTGGTTCTCAGAAAAGAAGAAGAAAAAAAAAGAAAACGCATTGGAACAGCGTTGTACGCTTAAGGGTTATTTCTAATGATGCTTCTTCTTGTGCCTTCCCGAAAATCGACAAGCACACCTGAATAACACGCAGTTATTATTTCATACGCACTCGACTATCTCTGAAGTCTGTGAACAGTCTAGTTTCGCTGTAGCGATAAATTTTTTCCTTACTTTGACCACCTCATGCTGTCATTCAAGACTGCGGAATGACTTCAGAGCTTTACTAAGCATCATCTCCTCACATTAACAGACAAAGGAGTTCGGGACCACACATTCTCTCTTGAAAAACCCAAGGGCCTGAAAACAATTCGTTGTGCGAATGTTATCAAATGTACCGGCCTGGTATGCTTTAGTGAAGAGATTTTTGGTGTCAGCGTTCATAAAAAAAGTGATTAGTCAATTAACTGACCTTACTAGACATATCACAATCGGTAGAAAAGTACACTGCATAAGAAAATGTGAGGATAAAAAATCGAGACTGAAGCAAAGGTAATGAAACATGCGAAACCTCAGGTGATTAGGACAGTGCGGGTAGGTTTCATGTCATTATGGATGACCTTCTCCTCTCTGAAGTTCAAGTTATTGTAAAGAATCGTGAACAAACCAAAAATATACGGTGGGATTATATTGGGACGTATACTTCCGAAAAACGAAAAGAATCATTAAAATATCGGTGAAAAAAAAGAAAGAAAAAAAAAATGAAAAATACCGAACCCAGCGTATTGAGAAAGATTGAATCAAATCACGCAAACGTCGTTACGCAGGAATTTCTATTGGTCATTTTCTCCAAGCAATGAACAAAGCAGTAACTTTTATTCAAACCAAGGTTTAGATTTTCAGTATCAGAAAGAAAATGACCAAGAGTGTACTGTAAAGAACCCTGCGTTAAAATCACTAGGTAGATGAAATGAGGAGGGAATGAGGAGGGAGTGGGAAGTAGCTAATAACCGCGCTAAAGTGGCCTTTTTGGTGATGGAACCGCCACGCTAAGCAAGGGAAGGTGCCGCGACTTAAGTGCTTCATAATCACTCCATCAGCACTGTGAATTGAAGACAGCCTTGCTAGGGTGATGGGTATAACTTTCGACAGCGATAGAATTTGACGAATGCACATGGTATTAAGCATCCAACTTGAAACTAGTATTGCCAGTTTCAGGGGAACAACTTCCGTAAGTAAGTTGCTCCTCTAAATTCTTCCAAGTTGCTTCCTCGTTGGTTTAAATCATAATTATTTGTTGTGATTACATTACAAATTGCAAACATTCCCTTTACGTTTTAAAGCTTTGGAAAGCTTATTAATTCGGAAAAAAAAAAGATTGATCGCTAATCTCCTCTTTCGACGCTTATAGTGATACACAAAGACACTTAAGGATATAACTGAGACGTCATGAAAAACAAACTGACAAGTGCCTCACAGTAGTAATGCATTAACAATCACTATGTATCACTTTGGCATGGCAGTGCAGTGATGGAACTTAATTTTACTTTTTCTTCATGGAGCAAGTCAGGTTTTCTGTGCACATTTTGAGAGAAGCGAATAAACGGCTAATGAGCTTTGCAATATAGACACAAAAAGAAGCTGCAACTCTTGAAACTTGAAGAGCAAAGCAAAATAGTACATCACGGGAACATTGAATTAAAGCGAAAAGTTAAAGTCAAACATTTAACGTGCAGTTTGATAAGTTGTCTTTGGAAGAAAAGGGGAAGGTAAAGAAATAAGGTTAGTATGTGTAAAAATTCCCTTATTGTTTGTGGACAAGAACTAATGATGTACATGTATAAGTGCATGGAAGATGTTTATTTTAAACGTCTGGATTAAACCAATATTCTCTAAGGGGCAAAATAGTGAGAGGGGGAGGAAAACTTGGAAGGAGAAGGGGTCTGAGGGCGTTCCAGTAAGTTCTTCTCTCTTCCATTTTTTGGTCATTTTTTTGTGAAATCAGGATGACTTACTGCAATACTTAGGCCAATTCTCCGAAGAGTAATTTCCCCCCCTTTACTCGACCTTAACTTCAGGACTATGATAAATTATGTCCATTTTAGGTAATTCAGTGCTTTACTTCTCCATAATCTGTCCACGCAACAGAAATGATGCCTTCACGTAAAGACAATCTGTATATTATTCGCATGAGAGGGAGCATTTCTTCAGTTAAGCCAAGATGGTGGGAGAGCAAGGCCTTCCCTTTGTCCTCTACGCGGTATTCACTACTGCGGTTCTTGCTCAAGGAAGTCAAGGTACCGTTAAGTATTTGCTTATTGAAATGTTTCAAGAATATGCTTTTAAATACTGATATTTGATGTTCATTTTCTACGGTAAAATTGATGAAAGTTTCATTTCAACTAGTACACAGGAATCGGGGGAGGGGCGCACAAGGAAAGGGAAAAAACGGAACTATGTTCAAGGCCATTGCGCTCAAGACGTTTTGAAATTATTAAAAGATATTGCAGCCACCGTAAATAGCCCAGAAGAAACGGGAGCTTACTTTTACTAAGACACTTTTCTTCTCTTTATAATAGCAATAAGTTTGAAAGCTGGAAAAACCAACGTCACTGTCAAAAGTCCAGGGTTGTTCGCTTGTGAGACAATCACATTTGCTGAACTGTTCTCTGGTGGAAAGCAAGTAAAAGTCTTTGCTTCCTTTGGTCACTCAGTTAACAACCAGGCCCGTGGCAATGGTGCTGCTATTTGGGTGGAATCGGCAGATAGAACTCAATTCCGCGCTTGTATCTACGAGTACAGCAACGGCTCAAATTCAACTGCTGAGATAAACTGGATTGCCTTACAATCTGCTCCCGAAGGAGCACAACTGGGAACCACTTCCCTGGACTCTTGGACTACCGGGACAGAATGTAAAAAAATCGACTTTCCTCAGGTACGCTTTGTTTTGCTATGATTACCTACAAGGTGCCCAGACAGGATTAATCTAAAAAAAGCAGAAACGGGTGAGTCATGCAAGGTATAGTTAAAGGATGTAACTCACGACCGCAAATGCGAATCCTCTTAAGGAGCTTAACCAGTTTTTCAATCAATGAATTTAGGAAGAAATTTGACGTCGCTAAAGTTTCAAGTTCAATGACCTATATACTATGTACATGCTATCATGCACGGACTTCATGATTTAACGAGAAATGATAAAAGTCTAAAAGGTGAATCGTTAGTTTGCTTTCAGGACGATTAATACAATGAAACAGCTTACTTTGTACTGTGATATTTTGTTGCTCGGCTGTTCGCATTTGTTTTCCTGTATTTTGTTTGTCGTTTTTTTTTTGAATGCGCATTATTATAAAGATGTCCACTCCATGACCCACACTAGCCCACTGATATTATCACTTACCCCCACCCCCCAACTTCAAACCCTCTCACTCTTTCATCCGTATTTGATTATTACACTCTCATATATACCTCCAGTCTAAAAGCAATAAAACATTGCCATTAGATGTCATTTCTTACGCTCGCCGCCGTAAATCGATTTAGAGAATCTTTTATGAAATATAATCATTGAACACGGTACACGAACTGAAACTAAATTATTTAGGGATGATAGAAGATATAACTTGTATTTTTTGCAATATTTGTTTTGTAATTTAAATAACTTTACACGTTGTAATTATATTTTACCGTGGCTGGTATTTTGTTTGCAAAATATTTTTGTCCTTTCCTCACGACTTCAGTGAGTGTCTCCTTCCACGAGAGGTTTTTTCTGCATGTGGGTGAAAGCCCGCGTAATTTCATGAATCGCGCTTAAATAAATTTGAAAGATTCTTCTTGTTGTAAATGCAGCTGCTGCTGTTGTTGTTGTACAGAGATGAAGCACTGTTTGCTAGATTTCTCGATTTAACTTAAGTCACGGTCCCTGATTATAATTGTTGGTGTTCACACCGTAATGAATGAGTTGTAAATTTCCTTTGCCTTTTTTTTTTTTTTCAGGGTCCTTTAACTCATTCATCCTTTTTCTTTCCTTATTTAAAGCGTTTTCCGACTCCTCCAATCGTACTCGCGATTCCTAGCCACCAGTTTCCTGAGAGACCTCAAGACGCCATGGCAGTGTGGGTGGAGGAGTTGACCGAAGACAGTTTTAAAATCTGTCTTAAGGAAGTGAAAATTTTCGACGGACTTCACAAAGGCATTGCTATTGTAAGCATTGTTTAGAAACTTTTTTAAAGACCTGTATCCAATTGCATCGACTTTTCTTAGCTAAACATACATTGCATTGTATATCTGTCTGGATTTCATATAAGGTGCCTGTACTGAGTCTCTAGACGGTCAATTCCTGCCATTACTCACCCTCCCCACCCATGAAGCTTATGACTAGTCAATCACTTCTCCCAAGCTCTGCTAGTAGTGTTATGATTATGAGTCACCGCATTGATTTGGCTGGCCAACTGGCCACAGGGAAAATTCTCTGACTTTGCACTACTTTTTGACATAAAACTCTAACTCTAAAGTGACAAAATCTCCCCTCCCTACCCCCCCTGGTTTTCACTCAAAACAAGGAAGCCACCCACGGATAGGTCTGGGCCAGGGCTCACACTGGCGCGTGAACACGGCCGATGCCCGTGTTCAAGCGAAAACTTAGCGGGCCCGTTTTAGCAAAATCACACAGATATAAATTTACCAGAATACTTACAAAAATAAATAGTCGAACTAACCATACATTTTTAGTTTTGAAATATCATTCCTCGCAGTTATTCCTTTATTAGTGCCTAAACTACATAAAAAAGGGCAAATATGTGTATAAAGTACATACAGTTATAAGAAAGTAATTGGTTCGATTAGAACAACCCTCAAGACATTTGGTGAAAAAAGCAAACAAAAACCAAATTAAAAGAAAGAAAAACTGTCAGTGCAATCAAATCTCTGTTACCATGTATACATGAGTAAAGGTGCTCAAATTAAATCTTACCATAAGGTTTTATGAAATGATATACTTCAGTTATCGACTCAGTACTGGTTTTATTAAATTATAATCAGGTTCCTACTTGAGTAAAACTTCTACAGGAACTGGTCCCATTCCTTGGATAACTGACTCACTAAGCTTAAATGTCTTTTTTTTTTTTTTCGTTGTTGTAGAACTGGATGGCTTATACAAACCTTCGAGTCGATAACTTCTCCTTATCTGACAGTCTTGTGTTTGCGAACAACAACTTTCCATCTCAACAGAGTGACTATGCCTTTTGCCAGGTAAAGTGTAATATACTCTTATTACTTACTTGCGTACTTTTACTTACTTACTTATATTAATTTTAAAAATGATTAATTAATTATTTATTCGTTCGTTTCTTGGTGATTTACAATTGTACCATGAATTTCACTTATGTATTCTAAACGAGACATTCTCTCTTAAGCAGAAACGTAGTTAAATAAATGGTGATGATGTTGTTGTTGATGATGATTATGATGATGATGAACTTAACTATGGCTCGTTTGTAAGTTAATTGAGTTGACGTCAGGAGCCGATTACTTTGTTGACGTTTAGTTAGTCTTCGAGAAGATGTAAGAAGACGTTTTAAGTATTTTTGACCATGCAACTTTAAAAAATTATATCTCTGCTGTTATTTACAGTTCCATATCAAGCTATACCTCATTGGAAAGAACAAAAAATAAACTTTCAGAAAAAAAATATTTCGGTCTCAGAGAACCCATAGTATTCTGCACAAAAAAAATAAACAAGGCATATTTCTAGATAATTATTTTTAAAAAAATTAAAGAGTGTAATTTTGCAAGGAAAGTTGTATATTTTATGTAATACAGTACAACTAATTTTTTTCTTCAATATCTCAGTAAAACAGCCCGAATATCGGTCGAAAATATAGAGCGGCTAGCAATTTTCTACAAATTTATTTTGTGACCCTATCGGATTATGCAAATGAGGTCAGAGCTAATTAGCATGGCAAAACTACAGTCTGTAGATACTTTAGCGTCACTTTGTGGCCCGATATGTACCTTCAAAAGACGCTTTATTTTCTAGTTTCAAGGTGAAATATCGAGTTAAAAACAAGCAAACATGAATTCACTGATATAAGTCATCAAAATAAGCAAGGCTTTGAAGGCAAAAAGCTCCGCGGGACGGATTTCACTGCGTTTCAACAAAATGTGTACCAGACTATGGCCTACTCGGCGAGTTAGAAGCAAAGATTCTCACTGTTTTATTACCTCTATTTTCGCGTTTATTTCGCTTGTTATCCTCCAAAATAATTTGCTTGACTTGTATTTGGTCGAAATTCGTCGATAAAAGCTTTCATTCTTGGCAAAAGCCGCGACAAAATTCTTCACGACGGAAGCGCCATTTTCACTAGATTTGAAAAAATCGTTGCGTGAAGCTCAAACCTCCCCAGGGCCTGGAACTTGGCACATAATTGACTAAATCTATTGACTTCCTGTGGGCCAAATTTGGAGGCAATCGGAAGTAACACAATTTTTCGCGAGTGTTGGTCGCGTCATCGATCAAAAGTGGTCGAAATGTTCACGTTCGGAAGAGAATGAGAAAATAACGGTAAAAAGCTTTACATTTTTGTTACAGAAAATCAACTTTACAGATCAATTCTACGCTCCCCCAGTGGTAATGGTGACAGCTGAACGAGTTAGCAACGATTCACATTTGTCCGGATGTAACGCAATCACTGCTTGGGTCGAGGTAAGGGAAGAAACAGACTGGTCGACAGCATACTTTACCCCAGTCTAGTCGAAGGGTTTGTTGAAATACTAGAAAATTAAATCACACATCAAGTGTTATTTTTCAAAGGAACTGCTAATTACTTGAATTAAATTTTCACGCGAAAAAAAAATTATGAAAATAAGGCAGACAGTTAGAGATTTTTTTAATTCTGAATTTTTCTTGGATGTGTGTAGCCTTACAGTTTTCGTCTCACCGATTGTTTTGTGAGATTTTTCAAACTGTTTTGGATAGCAATTAATAATTGCTAATGTTCCACTCCTAGTACACGTCCACCGCAGATACGGAAATTTGTGTCCGAACTTACGACGCCAAGAGCAAGCAGACCATAAAAGTAGAATACCTGATTATTGGAGGTAGGTATTTTAAATAATTAAGTGCTAGCTTCTAAAATATTCTAACTCTTCACAACCTGCAAGTGTAACTGACCCAATTTGGAAGATGTTTTTAACCATTTCATCTTTGACGTCAATGAAGTTCAAAGCAAAGTAGCAATTCATTTTTTTTATTATTTATTTATTTATTTTATTTTATTTGCTATTCCAAAGTACAACAATTACAACAATTACAATTATTATCACAAAGCATACATGCACAAACTTACTAAACACCTAAGCATACGTACAATTCCACAATTACAGACAAGGTAATGCTTACTGTTATTTTACTAGTGCTATTCAAAAAAGAAGAAACTAATCATTTTTTCAAAAGAAGAAAAACTACCTAGATTACAAAGTCCATTTGTCCATTAATTTTTGTCAAGTCTTATTCTTAGTGAAAATATATTTTTCTATTTCATATTTACCGTTTATTCTAACTATAAAACTGTTTATGGTTGGGAGTAGTTCATTCCTTCTGCAACTCCATAAATGTATTTTCCCTATAACTATAAGATAATTAAGCAAGGGGCATAGAGTCAGAAGATAAGAAGCCGATCCAAATTTCCTTTAATGTTAGGTGAACTAGTTGTTTTCGCAACCCAAAATAATATGATTCAACACATTTCCAAAATGAATTCGAATAATGGCAATCCCAAAAGAAATGTCTAATAGTTTCTGATTCCCTTTTGCAAAAAGAGCACAAGTTGTCTGTCCTGTACCCAATCTTGAACAACTTTGAGCAGGTAAAAAGTATAGAATTAAGTATTTTAAATTGAAAGGCTTTGATATAAGGTTCAAACGCGATAGAATGAGGCAAGAGAAATGCCTTTCTGAGATCGTCATTAGATAGATTAAAATACAACTTCAGTTTTTGTGCATAATTTGGGAGACAAGCCTTCTTTTTGATCAAAAAAGGATAATAATCTTTTGATTTCTTTTTTGCTATGTCGAAAACGCCGCCATTGATTTTAAAGGAAGGTATTGCATTAAAGGTACTCGAATCCGAGCGATTAAGAACTCTTAAGTTGGTTGGTATTGAATGTCTCATACTAGTCCATTGAAGGAAGTTTGTCTTTTTAACATTTTTTGCAATCCGTTCGTAGGATTCCGTATTGCTTAGATCAAAATGTAGGTATCCTATTTCCCAGATACCAATGTCGCAATATTTCTTGTAGAAAAAGGGCTTGTCGTCTATTCTAAAGTCTCTATTATTCCAAATTACATAATGCCAATCGTTATTAATTATAAGAGCATTATCTTCTCGGAGTTCCGACCACCATTTAAGTAGTTCTAAATAAAAGGTAGAGGTAATTTGAAGATCCTTAACATTATAATTGCATTTAAAAAGCATTAGACCTCCAGAATCTTTCAAGATGTATTCAAGGTAGTTTTTCCACGCGCCTGAGTTGTCACTAAATATTCGTTTAAGCCAGGAAAGAGGGAAGGATTTTATCAAACTTTCATTATCCACCATTTTGATGCCTCCTTCTTCATAATTATTTATTGTTGACGCTCTTCTTACTTTATCTTTACCTTTCCATAAAAACTTATATAATATATGATTTAAATCCCTGACAATGTTTTGCGGAGTAGGTAATAAAGAGGACGTGTAAACGATCTTAGGTATAAGAAGTGATTTGATTAGAATAACCTTTCCGTAGACAGAAAGCCCCCTTGAGGACCAGATGTTGATTAGTTTTTTTAATGTCGACGATTTTCTCTGAGAAATTCTTTGAGTGAGACAACTTATGGTCATAGGTGAAAAAGACACCTAGGGCTTTTATTGGCTCTGTGGGCCATTTGATTCGTAGAGGTTTATTTTCACTGTTCTTCAGTGATCCTATCCACATTCCTTCAGTCTTTGAACTATTTACCTTTAAGCCAGAAAGCTCCTTAAACTTATCAAGCAGTTGGAAGAGTTTTTGAGCTGACTCTAAATCAGCGAGTACAGCAGTAGTGTCATCTGCGTATTGAAGAAGTTTGGTCTCTTCTTGATTTATTACTATTCCTTTTATTTCTTCGCTAGCTCTGATGGCGATCGCTAAGGTTTCCACGGCCAAAAGAAAAAGATATGGGGAAAGAGGGTCACCCTGCCTGACGCCACGTGTCAGTTCAAAATAGTCTGAACACAACCTATTATTTACCACACAACTTTTAATATTTGCGTAAAAAGTTTTGATCCAGCGCTTAAAATTTGGACCAAAATTAAAGACATCTAGACAATTATACAGGAAGTTCCATTCTAAAGAATCGAACGCTTTTTCAAAATCAATAAATATCAACAGACCAGGCATATTTTCCTTATCTGTTAAATCCATGATATCGAAGATCGACCTAACCGTTTCACCGATATAGCGTTCGTTTACATAACCAGTTTGGTTATGGTGGATTATAGAAGGAAGTATATCTTTAATTCTGTTGGCAATCACTTTTGATGTTATCTTAGCGTCAGCATTGACAGGTGATATGGGCCTCCAATTTTCTATTAATGTACGATCTTTGCCTTTCTTTTCTATTAAAGTGATTAGCCTGCCTTTGGGAATTAGACATTTCTTCTTTATCAAAGGATTCATTGACGCAATCTATGAAGGGTTTACTAATGAGATCCCAGCAGCCTTTGTAAAATTCAATGGGGAGACCATCATTCCCTGGTGATTTATTGTTTTGAAACGTTTCTATAATTGTTCTACATTCCTTGGTAGAAATTCGTCCTTCACACGATTGCCTTTGTTCTTCCGATAGTTTTGGAATATTTAAACTATTTAGAAATGCCTCTATGGAATCCGTAACCTCTACAGAGTCCTTAGTTTTGTATAGGTTTTGATAAAATCGTTTTTGTTCGGCGAGTATCCGATACGGGTCTGTAGTTATTGAACCACTTATTAACAATTTTCGGATGTGTTTTTTGACATGGTTTCTCTTTTCTAGATTTAAAAAGTATTTAGTACTCCTTTCACCATAC